ATAAGGGAAGGTAGGCCTTTGAGTGTGTTATAAAGGTCTTTCTGGTTGCACAGTTTGGTAGGTATGTTTGTTATTAAGGCGGCTAGGATTGGGAGAGCGTTAAGTGGTTGGGGAGATCTAGGTGCAGTGGTAGAAGCTGAAGTAGACGAGGTTGAGGAATAAGACGAGGAGCGTCTACGGGAACGTTTTACGACTTGGAACGGTTGTTCCTCGGGGGAGGAAGTCCTAGGGTTCTTGGTCGTTGGAGTATTCATGGTTTGTAATTTGTTTATGTATGTGTGTGTTTAAGTGTGAGTATATGTGTACTTGTGTGTGTGTGTGTGCGTGAAAGGTGTATTAGTTGGTTAGCGCGTTTGTTTACAGGGGTAGTGTTAATTCAGAGGGACGTTGCGTACTCGGTCCCTAAGAATGTCGGTTAATTAATAAAATGATTTTAAACTTTGCTTACCGGTAACGGCTGGGCAGTAGAAAACTCTTGGTGAAGGCTGTAATAAAATTTGCAAATAAATTGCGGCTATCGAACTTGAAGTGCGCTGGATGTCTGCTGACTGCTGCTATGATTTAGCTGGTTGGCTGTTGATTGCTGCTTGTCGGCTGGTAATCGTCTGCTCTCTTCGAAGGTTCGATGTGGTATGTTTGTTTCATTGACCGTACATGTTAATGAGTAATTTGATTAATTAATAAGAAGCAAAAGAGATACTCACCGGATAAAGATGTTCTGTAACTACTGGAATTTCCATTGTCACTGAATCACTGGTTAATAACGCTTCTTGTACAAAATTAGAATTATTATCTGTTCCATTTATGTCAATACATAATACTTTAAGTTCTTCCTTATTATTTATCTTCTCAGCATCATCAATATCACAAAAGTCGTTGTTACGATCAGGATCTCTTCTTTGAAGAATTATAAATTTATTTTGTCACTTTCCGATGCTTTCATCAGTTTTAAGCGTATAGCTGTACAATTCGATGTTTGACCATCATCATCAAAAAAATCGGCTTACACCGCTCCCCAATTAAGCAGTACACTTTTTTCATCTTTATGATACAATGTAACATCAATCATATCACTAATAAATAAATGTAGGATTCAGGCTTCTGTTACTAACTGAATTTAACGGTTATTCTCTAACCGCCAGAAGAGTCATTTGTTCAGCGCTGCACCGGAGGCACAGTTTGTGATGAGAAATCCGTGTAGTGTGATAACGACTCTAGCTCACTCTGGAGGTTCAATTTCTCACTACTAACGCTTGACTGACGCAACGTGGATGCAAAGAAGAGAAATTAAAAAGACAGCAGGTTATGTGATTCGATAAGACTCATTAAAAATTGTTTCGATTTTCATTTAGAATTTATTGGAATAAACTTTGAAAATGGAAAATATAATTAAATGCGCAATG